CATAATCTCTCTCCTATCTCATTAATAGCCCCCTCATTAAGCCTCCCTAATTACCTCCCACAATTCCCTCTCATCCAATTTAATTCTCCCCATTAAATTTGAATTTAAATTCAAATTCATCCCGCCAATTCCACTTAATATGAAATTTAATTTTAGATTTTCATTCTCTCTCCCCAAATTGATTTGGGATTTAATTAATCTTGCCACCTAGGCAAGTAAATGACATTTACGTTTCACATCAACTATTGTGTGATAAGCAAACATCAATAAACATTGTCAAAAATCCTGTGCTTCATTATCATGCCAAACATGTTTCGATAGATTTACACTTCCATATCTCTTCAACCTTCACTGACTTGTCAACAAATTATAAACATTCTCACCTAGGCATTTACTCTTATAATTTTTGTAAGATTAAGTACCAACTTGGGAATGATAAGTATTTACTATCTACCTTGTGTTGGGATTTTGAAATTCAAATAAGGAAGCACATAGACTCAAGTTTTTTATGAGTTTCTTTTGGTGGGTTTTGAAGGGTTGTCACTTGGTTCTATGTTGTTTTGTATTTTCAGTTTTTTTCGTGTTTTATGATTCGATTTGCTGTTAATATGAGGAAAGTGATTTTGTCGTCTCCTCTAGCAATTGAATACAAATTCTATCTTTTGTTTCTTTAGATGCTTGATGGTTTAGCTTTCTTAATGTTGCTAGGATGATATAATGAATGCAGACCACATAAAAGAAATTAAGATTATTAGATTAAAGATCATTAAATGCACATGACGGTGCAAATATGAAAAAAAAAATAGAATTAGAACTCAAATAATGGTGCAAAGATCTAATAAATTTGAAGAGAATAAGAAATTCAAATCACACAAAACCATCCAACAGTTGAATTTTAATATCATATTTAACCAAAATCAAGAACTCTAGCAAGCAATTACAAAGTATTTTAAAGAAAATAAAATGAGGAAAGAAATTGCCAAACTAAAGAAAATATAGGCATCAAGTTGGTATAAGGAGACGACTTTCCCTAAAATTTTGAAGTCACATTTATAATACACAAAACCATCCAACAGTTCAATTTTAATATGATTCCTCATGGCTCATATACGACATTGAACAAACATTTCATATTCTTGTTTAAAATACTCATCCTATGCGACATTGAAAAAAATTGCAGAGGTCGGAATATGCCACCATAAGCTGCTTCGGCAATTATAAAGCACAACTCATGCTGTTAAAAACTGAAATTTGAGAGAGAAAAGCTTGAATTTTATTATGAAACATGCACCCTATTTATAGATCTATACCAGATGCTTAAATAAGTACAGAATAATGAGTAATACATTCTTTTCTAAATCAGTTGTCTAGTTATGGAAGATATTAAATGTGATTCAGGCGGGCTTCCCACGGATCATTGTTTATGATTGTGGGATCACAGTAACACAGCGGAAGGCTGAGATTTAACACATGCCATGCCCAAGAAGAATCAGACGAATTAGATAAATCTAAACCAAAAACGGCAAAACTTTGATCGATAGTTCCAAACTACAAAAAATTATAGGTGCCAGCAAAAATTGCATGCCCTTAAGTTTCTAAGAAAACTGTGGATCATCTGTAGAGCGCCTCTTAGACTACCAAAAACTTTTGCATGTGACTGTAGCGCCACCAAATTATGTTGGAAACATGAGGCAATAATTGATTGCAATTTTGTCTTGCATGTGGGATTGAATTTTTTTTTAATATATTTCAGAGAGGATTAGGTGAACGAAAATTTGAATTTTATGGCAATTACACTATCTGAGACATCCAAACCATGAGCCAAATCAATTAATTCATTAAAAAAGGCACAGGACAATACCTGTTGTTACAAGTCAAATGTAAACTTGCAGATCAGCATCAACAATTCTCACTGTTCTTCTCTATGGTTGCCTTGAAGCCTTTGTTGGGCACTTTAAACTCATCTTCTCACACATTTTTTTGTATAGTTTGTAATGTTCAGTCACTTATTATAACATGAATAACTATGAAACTTGATTTCTGTAATTGAAGTATCATTTTTTATAGGATAACTTTGACATTGTTTTCTCTCAATCCGTACCATTCATGTATTTAAAATATGATATCTACATAATACTTAACATTCTTTTTAATAACTGAACGATTTTGGAAATTTATTTCTATAGCATTCATACTTTTTTTGATGGTATTGCTTACATCAGTTTCAGTGGAATTTTGGAGTTATGTAATTATTTTACAATTTCATTGGCTATTTTTCATTATTGCAGCGATCCAAGGGAGAGCCATTGCGCGGTTTTGAGGATGAGAAGTTCTGTTTTGTTGCTTTAAAGCGTGGCAACCGGCCAGAGTAAGAACTTTAGCGTGTGAATGATATATAAAATTTATCCTAAAAGACTAATTTTAGCTTGGTTATCTCCATTTTTTCTACTAAAATTTTGACCTAGCTTATTATGTGTACTATTGATGTCAAAACAGTGTTTCTCCTTTTTCTGCATTTTTATGAAACATAGCTTCAGTTTATTTTATTTATTTATTTGCTTTATAGGATTAATTAGCAATATTATTAAAAGATAAAGTTATTATGTAGGTATGATGGATTTAAGTATTTGAACCTATTATACAAAAGAATTAGGATATTGATGAGCACAAAACTTCTAGGGTAAGATTAGGTGATTAAAATAGATTAAGTTCCTTAAAAGTATTGTGATAGGAGAAGATTTTGGAGGTAAAAATTAAAATTTTAACTGTAATTAGGCCAAATATGATGTATGAACTTGAGTTTTGAGCAGTTAGGCAGTCTTTAATTGACAAGTTTAAAAAGTTGAATTGAGAATATTTGATATTTGGTAAAACTTGTTAAGGATGAATAATGAAATAATTAATGGTTGGCGTTGTATCTATTGAAAGGTAAGATAGTGAAAAATAGGTTTGTGGTTTGGTTAGTATAACAAAAGATAAATGATGCACTAGTAAGACTGTTAGTTAACTTTATGTTAACATATTAGGAAGATAAAAAAGTCATACTCTAGGTAATATGAATAGAAGTTTTGCAAAAGGCTTTGCACAAAAATAGGTTTAATACCTTATGGAATACTCAGTATGGATGAAAAGAGAATGAGAGTTTCTACAAGGTATGACTGGAATGAGGTTCATTAAACTAACAACAAACAGTTATGGCTAATGGTGATGATGATTGTTTTTATGTTGCTGATCAAATTGAAATTATTGATTTTATTTGGGTGTTGCTCCTTGAATTTTTTACTCGAATCTTATGAAATCAAATAGGATTTTTTAATTTAATTTCACTTGTGGTTCCACTTGAAAGTTTGGTTTATAAAGTAATTTTGAACACTGTATCAAGGTGATGCAGTAATTACTAACTATTTTTGGACCGAAGCTAAGAGCTATCTTGCATGTTTGTTGCAATAGGTATGCAGTTAATTTTGTGTGTAGTGATGCATTGTAAGCCTGTAACTTTCTTGAAATATACATAGATGTTATTTCCTATCATATCTTCTCCTAATGGGTTTTTTTTATCATTTGAACTGTTAAAAGGTTATCTTGTGAATGGACTATCTGATAATTGGATTATATGTGTGTCATTTATTGGTCAATCTCCGTTTGGTTTGCCTTGGCTTTATCATATTATCAGGCCTAAACATAAATGATATAGAATATAGTTCAAGCGCATTCCCCTTATTTAAGCAGTCAAATATTATTATGAAATTTAACATTCCCAAACTTTTATATCCCCTTGACTGTAGTATCATGACATCTATACATCCAATATTTCATATGAATATTATAGATCTCTCATCTTTTGCATTATCAAATTTGGTAATAAATAGTTTACAAGTTTCTTATGGAAAGCATGATAGGTAGCTTAGTGTCAATATGCTGATTTACTTTAGTAAGTGCAAAGCATCGTTTAGATAGTTTTTAGTAAATAACTTTATGACCTTAAGAATTCAAAGCCTTAATGTTTCCTATATAAAAAAAAAGATATCTAGACCAATATTTTATGGCAGTTTAAATGATTTAAAATAATTTTCTTTTGGTTTTCCTTTTTCTTTTTCTTTGTTTTTTTTTTCTTTTTTGTAGGGAAGCTTGGCCGCTGGATGGTATGGAGTTTGAGACGTTAAAGGAAAGACTTGCTAAGAGGAAGCCGGAGGATCTTATCATAGATTATGGTAATAAACATTGTAGGCTATATATATTTAAGATTTTTGTTCTGTTCTCATCTCTTTTTATTATGTTGGACTTTAAAAAGCTGAAGCTTGAATTTGTCCATACAATTGGATTTGAAGGTTTGTTTTTTGTGCAGCCAAACTATTTGACTAGATTGGCATAGTTATCATTGTCTAAAATGCATTTCTTAGTTCTTCACAAAGTTTTTTAAAAAATGCGTGCGGCCTTGTGATTCTATTACACCATTTTGATTGTTTATCTAATGTTTTTTCTTGTGTATCTGTTTTCTTGTGTTGAATAACACGGCAAGGAGGGGGCCCTCGCCGCTTTGACAGGTCAGCAATTCATGGGTTGTAGTTGAAAATTTCCACTTATGACACCATGATTTGTGGGATTTATTCCAAAATCCATGGGATATGATTAAAAGATTTTTCTCTTTCATTTATTATAATTAATTAGATTAAATGACTTTCTTTTTCTATTTATTCTCCTAGAGAGAGAGAGAGAGTGTGTGTATATATATATTCTAAGGAATAAAATTTGAATTCATTTTTCCCTAAACAATTTCTTCATGGTATCAGAGTTTATGAAAATCCTAAGCCTCCTCTGAGTGTCGACGACAAGCCTTCCTCCATTTCTTTCAACCTTCAGCTGGCGGTAACTCTCCATCATCCTTCCGATAGTCTCTTCAAGCATATGTAGCCCTTTCCTAAAATTTATCTTCTCTTTTAACCGAGGAAACCCAACAATGTCCATGGATAGCAATATCTCATCCTCCTACCCAAATATTACCCATTTAAACAACAGAAACTCTTGATCTGCTGACAACTTTTCTCCTCTCATCACAAGCTACAAATTTAATGGGTAATTTTTTTTTGCAAGTCTCAATCAGTGAGAATATTTATTTGCGGGAGAGCGAAAGAGGACGATCTCATTGGTGAAGCCCCTATATCACCACAAACCGATCCTCTCTATAGAAAATTGAAAGCAGAGAATTATCAAATCATTTCTTGGCTCATCAACTCCATGAATGTAGAAATCGGGGAGAACTTTCTTAGTGCTATATCTAAAATTGGTACAATAGAGACATAAAGGGCTATTCCATTCAACCTTTAAATATTCTAGGATAAATTTTAGCTATGGCAGTTCACTTATCTAAATTTGTCTTATGCACTTGATGTTGCCACTTCATTTTTTTTTTTACTTTAAATAAGAATGTGCAGTATCCTGAAGTTAACATATCAATCATAGACCCCATATATCTGGCATTTGTATAGGCTTCAAGTGTGAGGTCCCTGCCATGTTTGAAACAAATTTCTTTATTTGAGATTCATTTTTGATATTGTAAAATTTAATATGTGTTGCACTCTTGGTGTTCACTTCTCTTTTCTGTTTGTGTGTTAAACTTACGTGCAACGCTCGGACGCAAATTTACAAACTCTACCGCCGCGTATTTTCTAACACGCAACAATATGCAATTATAAAGTATGACTATTTTGAATTGTGTTTGAATCGACTTACCACACAAACATCATATGCAATGTCATGTTTAGCGGGTGATATGTATATAAATATTTCATAAGTCTTTGATAAGTGGGTTATTTTAATTAGTCTTTTGGACAATTAAATTTTATGGGGCTCTTGATAGGCTTGCATCTCAACTTGTCTTTATATATCAATAGGATGTTTTTCTATCGTGATATAAAGAACCCATGATCTGAGTGCAATCTCAATGTTAGGAAATACTTTAGATTATCTAATTAATTTATTTCAAAATCTTGGAGTGACCTCTTATTTAAAATTTCCATACATTCCAATTTAGCATATCCTATAATGTTTTTGTTGACAGCATAAATGTCACGTGTTTCACAAATAATTTATGGTATTCTTGACTCTGTTTTATATTCCATGTCGAGCATCACATTAGCGAACCTCCTAAACCATAGTCTTGGGGTTTTCTTTAATACATATAATGCTTTGTTTGAGTAAAAGTTCATAATAGTACCTCGACTATTGACAAATGTCCAATTTAATCCTAAAATTTTGATGTGCCTCAATTTAGTCACTTAACTATTAAAAATTATCCAATTTGGTCTCTGTTAAAATTTCGTTTTAAATTAATGAAAGAAGTTGTGAGCATTCACTTCTATATGGGTATTTTAGTAAAAATATTTTTTACCTAATCGTTCGAGTTCCTGCTATGATTCCTGGAGATGGAACTGGAGATCGAATTATGGGAGGGAGAATAATTGCAGCTGCGAGCAAGGCACCGTGCTTTGATGCTCTACGAGCGAGACACGAAAGGCCGTGCTGCTGCGAACGACCATGAGATGTTGCAAGCGAGACGCAACACACTATGAGCGAGATGTGAGACGGGTGTTGCGACGAGTGACTGTGAGTGTTGTGAGAGGCCGCAAGAGTGACCCTTGCTGCTACGAGGGACCGCGACTAATGCGACAGGCTAAGCGATCATGATGTGCTTCAACATCCAAGGACGTAGACAATGAGTAATGTGTGACATTCAAAAGTAAATGAAGACAAGTTTGCTTATCTTCATAATATCCTTTATTCATATGATTTTGATTTTTTTGTTCTTAGAAATTATTTGTTCGATAAGATAAAATAATTTATAATGTTAGGAATTATTCGTTCACAACTATATTACAATTTGCATGACAGAGGTTCAATTTTATTTGTGCTGTTTGTGTTTATTTTTTGAGCTATTTGAATTGGAACAATAACATTTATTTAACTTTTGTTAGTTCTTCTAGAATATGTCACAATAATTAAGCATCAAGATTTCTTATTAACTTTAGTGAGAAGTACATTTTAAGATGAGATATGAACCATGTATCTTAGATAATATTAAAAAAATGAATTAACTTCATTGTGAAAACAACTTTCATTTAGTAGTAAAATTTCTTTTGCTCTATTTTCTCTCATTTTGTTAGCACGAATTGGAGACGAAACTTGTAGGAAAGAACAAGGGCATGAACTTGTAAAGACTGCTCAAGTTGTTTTTAAATAAATGTTAAGTGATTCATATCATTAATACTCTTCTTTTTAATTTTATTTATTAGGCTCATCCTAATTCAGAGAGAATTGAGAAATAACTGTTGAACTGCCTATTTCTTCTAATAATATTGTGGAATCCTCGGGTATTTATTCAAGAAAATCTTTAGTCTAAAGGAATCATGATTGGACCAAAATCCTGTGTCAAAAGTGTATTAAAATTAATGATTGTGTTATTTATAGTGCCTTGATCCCAAAGACTCTTCCCCTCCCAACCCACACTATACTTACTAAAATTCTACTTTCAAAAATTTTTCATATGTTTGTAATTGTTACAAACTGTGATTTGAGAGGGAAAAACTTATTCTTATTCATTACAATCTTCCATATTTATAGATCTATACAAGACATCCTAATGAGGAAATAATAAATTGCAGATTTAATACACAAATAAGAAAATAAAATTTTTCCTAAATTCGTTCCCTAATCCCAACCATGTCCATGTATAGAGAGATCTCATCATCCTACCCAAATATTACCGGTTTAAACACCGAAAATTCTTGATTTACTGGCAACTCTTCTCCTCTTTCTCCTCTCATCACAAACTACAAATTTAATGGGCAAAATTTTTTGCAATAGTCTCAATGGTGAGAATATTTATTTGCGGGAGAGGGAAAGAGGACTATCTCACTAGTGAAGCCCCTATGCCACCGTAAACCGATCCTCTCTACATAAAATGGAAAGCAGAGAATTATCAGATCATGTCTTGGCTCATCAACTCAATGAATGTAGAAATCGGTGAGAACTTTCTTAGTAGTATATCTAAATCTAGCACAATAGAGACATATAGGGTTATTCCATTCAACCTTTAAATATTATAGGATAAATTTTAGCTATAGAAGTTCACTTATTCTTAGTGCCATATCTAAATTTGGCTTATGCACTAGATGTTGCCACTTTTTTTTTTTACTTATAATAGGAATGTGCAGTATCCTAAAGTTAACCTATCAATCATAGGTCCCATTATCTGGCATTTGTATAGGCTTCAAGTGTCAGGTCCCTGCCATGTTTGAAACAAATTTCTTTATTTGGGATTCATTTTTGATATTGTAAACCATGGTTTAAAATTGAGCAATATGAGGCTCGCCTTGAGGCCCGCCTTTGCGCAATTTCAATAAAAAACGCCTCGATGCTTACGCCTCGAGTTTTTTTTTATGAGGCTTGCGTCTCAACTTGGTTGAGGCCCGCCTCGTCTCACTGGCATGGGGCTTACGCCTCACGCTATATATATTAAAACTTACATAAATCTTGAAGTAAATGCCTGACATTGGACTCTATAGGAGAGGTGGAAAGGGAGAGAGCAGTTCATCATAATAATGATTCAAATGAAGAACCCCTTAGTGATGAGTGCTGATGACTTATGAGTTCTTATGTGATATGCCATTGCTATTTATTTTTGGAAATCAGAATTATATGTTAATGAAAAGAATACTGGGATTTCAGAAAGATAGAATTTTGAGTTGAACTATATTTCATGTTGTCTTATTATTGAGATATTTTAATTTCACTTCATATCTTATGCTTTTTTATGTTTTATATTATTCACTCATTAGTATATAACAAATTTATCATTTTATGTTTCTGCAATCTTTTGATTTTGAGGCTTACGCCTCAAAACGCCTTGAGGCTTACGCCTCGCCTCACGAATGAAAAACGCCTCAATACCCAAATACGCAATTTTAAACATTGTTGTAAACTTCTGCAATTATAAAGTATGACTATTTTGAATTATGTCTGAATCAACTTACCACAAACATCATATGCAATGTCATGCTTAGCATGTGATATGTATATAAACATTCCATAAGTCTTTGATAAGGCTTTTTTTAATTAGTCTTTTGGAGCATTTTCAAGTTTATCATTAAATTTTATGGGGCTCTTGACAGGCTTGCATCTCAACTTGTCTTTATATATCAATAGGAATGTTATATATTTTTCTATCGTGATATAAAGAGCCCATGATCTGAGTGCAATTTCAGTGTTAAGAAAATACTTTAGATTATCTAATTCATTCATTTCAAAATCTTGGAGTGACCTCTTATTTAAAATCTCCATATATTCCAATTTAGCATATCCTATAATGTTTTTGTTGACAGCATAAAAGTCATGTGTTTTACAAGTAATTTATGGTATTCTTGACTCTGTTGTATATTCCATGTCGAGCATCACCTTAGCGAACCTCCTAAACCATGGTCTTGGGGTTTGCTTTAATACATATAATGTTTTTTTTTAGTAACAGCTCAAAATAGTACCTCGATTATTGATTAATATCAAATTTTATCCCAATGTTCGCAGTGCCTCAATTCATTCGCTCAACTTTTAAAAATTATTCAATTTAGTCCCTCTGTTAAAATTTCATTTTAAATTAATGTAAGAAGTTGCAAGAAGTTGCTTCTTTGTGGGGGTATTTTAGCAAAAATATTTTTATCTAATCGTTCGAGTTCCTGCTATGATTCTTGGAGATGAACTGGAGATCAAATTATGTGAGGGAGAAGAACTGCAACTGCGAGCAAGGCGCCGTGCTTTGATGCTCTGTGAGCGAGACACAAAAGGTCGTGCTGTTACGAGTGACCGCGCACTCGCGGTCGCTCACGAGAGCGACACACTATGAGCAAGATGCGAGATGGATGTTGCGGCGAGTGACCGCGAGTGTTGAGAGAGGCCGCAAGACAGACCCTTGCTGCTATGAGGGACCGCGACTCACACGAGAGGCTGAGCGATCATGATGTGCTTCGACATCCAAGGACATAGACAATGAGTAATGTGTGACATTCAAAAGTAAACGAAGACAAGTTTGCTTATTTTCCTAAAATCCTTTATTCATACGATTTCGATTTTTTTGTTCTTAGGAATTATTTGTTCGACAAGATAAAAATAATTTATAATGTTAGGAATTATTCGTTCACAACTGTATTACAATTTGCATGAAGATGGTTCAATTTTATTTGTGCTGTTAGTGTTTATTTGCTTGAACTATTTGAATTGGAACAATAACATATTTTTAACTTTTGTTAGTTGTTCTAGATTATGTTGCAATAATTAAGCATCAAAATTTCTTATTAACTTTAGATGAGAAGTACATTTTAAGATGAGATTTGGACCCATGTATTTTAGATAATATTCAAAAAATGAATTAACTTATTGTGAGAACAACTTTCATTAGTAGTAACATTTCTTTTTCTCTATTTTCTCTCATTTTGTTAGCACGGATTGGAGATGAAACTGTAGGAAAGAACAAGGGCATGAACTTGTAAAGACTGCTCAAGTTGTTTTTAAATAAATGTAAGTCATTCATGTCACTAATACTCTTCTTTTTAATTTTATTTATTAGGCCCATCCTAATTCAGAGAGAATTGAGAAATAACCGTTGAACTACCGATTTCTTCTAATAATATTATGGAATCCTCAGGTATTTTATTCAAGAGAATCTTCAGTCTAAAGGAGTCATGTTTGCACCAAAATCCTGTGTCAAAAGTGTATTAAAATTAATGATTGTGTGATTTGTAGTGCCTTGATCTCATAAGACTCTTCCCCTCCCAACCCTATACTTACTACAATTCTACTTTCAAAATTTTTTTATATGTTTATAATGATCTTCAATTTTGAGTTTGCTTCTAATAGATATAAATTTTTTTCACTAATTATTCACTCTTATTATTAAGTAGTTAAACATGTATTATGATTTATTAAATGATAAAATAGATCAATATAAGTAATGTAATCTCACATACCCTTGTCATACCTAAATTACCCTTATATTTAATTTTGGAGTTAACTTTAACACTTATTTCAGCCTTTAAAATTTAATTGGTTCAATTTTTAATAGTTGAGGGACTAAATTGGGGGGAATGCATAACTCTGGGACTAAATTTAGCATTTATCAGTAGTCGGGGCACTATGTTGAGCTTTTACTTCCTTTTTTTTATTTCTCTTTTTTATTCTGTATTTGAGCCAAATTCCATTGGGACCTCCATGGAAACTTCTTCCTCTATATCATCATCATGTAGGAATTCATTCTTCACATTGAATTATTATAGTTTGTAGTCCTTATTAGTTGCTAATGATAAAAGAACTTAAAAAATGTTCATTTTAGCAGTTTGAACAAACTTTACAGGATAATCGGTCCCATATGTTTGACTGTAGCCTTTAGCAGCTAGTATGGCCTTAGAACTTCCTAATGAGCTATCAAATTTATATAAATTTTACAGTAAAGGTTCATCTACATCCCACTAGTTTCTTTATTTTTCGTACTGTCAGACATTCTCATGTTTTGTTCTTTTGAAGGTCTTCTATTTATTCTTTTACCATTATTTCAATTCACATTATTTAAAGCTTTAGAGATAGTTTTATGGATATAAATAGTGTGGAGGGTAGTAAGAAATGATTTATTTAAATATAAGTTTGATTTAAATTGTGCACGCCTCATCAAAACCTGAGGTGAGTTGTGCTGTTTTATTTGAGGAATATATGCTTCACATAGCACCTAATGAGGTGTCAGTCTCGATTCTAAATAAACCTAAGACCAATGGAGCATGGGAATTTTTGTGATCCATGGGAGGAAAAATGTATTAGTAATTTGTTGCAAATTGAAAGAATGCTAGAAATAAGACTGCAATGATAAAGGCCACAACTGGAAGATTGGGTGGAAAGAAAAGGGACTTTTAATAATGAAGGCTTGCATGTTCTTGGCAATGTAGCGATGCAGGTTGCAGCTTATAAAAATGCTATGAAAAATCCTAATGCTTTGATATCATGACAATAATTGGAGAGAATTTGAGTGGTTCATTTCATCTTTTAGGTTGAATTTATATAATTCTAGGAAAATATCTAGTAAGAAATAGGCAACAATTATGGAATTAAAAATGAATATAAAATCAATTACAATTTAGGACAATCCATAGATTGGTGAGGTGACATTAATAATCTTATGGTTCACTGAGGTAGCTTGTAGTGAATAAGAAAAGGTGGACGATTGTAGAGCTCAGTGGAATGTTGATGTAGGCGGAATTTATAGAGATTGATTTTTTTACGGAGGCTTTGGGAAATAAAACTTGATTATGAAAGGGGTGTGCAAATGAACAGTCTAAATTGGCATGCAATGTTGTTGGAAAAGAATTAGCTTATAGAATTGCCTTAGGCCATGATTTAGAGCAATGAAATTTGCTTCATTTTGATGTTGTACCTCAAATAAGTAGTATCATTGTTTTCTAATTATGTTTTTATTATATTTTCAAATGAGCTACTCATATTATTTGTACAGGGTAAATTCATGGCAGTTAGGAGGAAGTGTGGTAGATTGTGACTGAACATGTTAGTAGTATAGTAGGTATTGGATTAGCATCCATTAAATAATGGATTATAGATTGAAGGTAAAAGCTTTGCTTTTCTTAAATTTCAAGGCAATGTTGCTGCCATTGCTCAGGGCACTCACCTAAGAGATATAAGACGCTACAAAGGATTGTTATATCACTCATAAATTCATTTTAATAATGATGCGTAACTTTTAAGAGTATAAACTAATAATCATTACATTGAATTTATTTTAATAAAAATAATGAATTTTTAAATTTCATTGCATTCAAAGTTCAAAAATCTTATTAAATGGATTATTTTAAGCAAGTATAATTAAACTACTTAGTTAATAGCATATATAGACTAATGATGCTTTAATTCTATTCTGTCGTTGTCATCAGTCTTTTCTCTATCAATTGATTCGTAGCCCTTCATCTCTTCATTTGTTTCCTTGAGGAATCATCCTATTTACTTTAAGTTCTACTATTATAACTTAGTTCTTGAACCTATATTGATTTAGTTTTTTCTAAGTAGTATGATTTACTTTTTTCTACTATATCTTACTGAAGTTCTGAAATATAGCCTTCATATATGACATCAAGGCCTTTCAATATTTTGAAAAAATAATTAATGCAAGCGTCATACACAATTTTGTGCAACTTTTCGATTGTTTCTTCAATCAGATGTCAAAATTTTTTTCAATGAGTGGCTTCACTTGCATCATGATTATAAATTTGTGATTTTCATAGTACAGAGTTCTACAAATGGCTTGGCACTTGATACATACATTTTTCATGCTTTCATGCTATTCATAACATATTAAACTAATTTAATTGATAGAATTCATGTGGTTAAATTAAGGTTGTTAACTGGGCTTTTACAAGCCCCCGATCCTCTTAATTTTTTTGAACATGTTTGATGAATGTTAGGCTTCGTTTGAGACAACTTTTTTACTGCTTAGCAGCTTTTTAGTATAAAAATTAAAATTTTGTATTAAAAAGCTACTTCAAGAAGCAGTAAGAAAGCCGCCCCAAACGAGGCTCTAATCTTTTATGAAAGTTGATAAAGTTCAATCTACATATTGTTTGGATGTTGCAGATGAACACAAATGGTGTGTTTTATGCTTAAAGACCTTAAAATGCCATAGAACTGAAAATTAACTTGTGAGGAGAAGTATCTCCTCCTAGGAGAACAAAAAACAGGGCTAATTCTCTTTTTTTTACTCTTTTGATGGCTTACTAGCTGTTAGTTCGAGCTGCCAATCTTGTGAGCTAAGATGAAGGTGAGTTTAGGGATTCGTTTGGGATGGCTTTTGTACTGCTTTTAAAAGCAGCTTTTGAGTGCAAAAATTTTAACTTTTGTACTAAAAAGCTGTTTTAAAAAACAGTAAACAAGCCGTCCCAAATGAAGCATAGTTCATACATTTTTTGGACCAACTTTGCTAACTATATGTATTATATTTTAGTTCCATGTTTTCTTCTTGAAGATCTAACAGGAATTGAAACTCTTATCTAGTACTACAACCACATATTAGATGTTCTGTTGAATCTCTCTCCATTCTCGTTTAATTCCTGTCAGAGGATCAAATCGAATTCAAGACAGACGAAGATTTCTTGGATGATGAAGAGGAAACTATCCCCTATGCTTCAGATGCTTCTGAGATCACTTTGTTTAACAAGGATGATGAAGATGATGACGTCGATAACGATGAGCAGGGCCGTGCTGATCTCGGCGGCGGTTGGGGTCGGATTATATACGCGCCAGTACGAAGAGGTAAGCGAATTGCATTAGATGTGTGCAGGTCCACAAAAAGGGATGCATCTGAAGGAGCCTTTGAGCGTATAATGATCACAAAGAGAGAGTGTCCTGATCTGCATCTCCAAGCTCGCAGGTCTCTTTGGGGTGATCTTTGGCCCTTCTAAATCGGCATCTGTAATTACGTGTTGTTTAGTTGGTCTGTGTGGTTCTAAATTTTGATCTTAGTTTTGTGAGCTTGTATTTTTATTTCTCTTTAATTTTTCTTACATTTGGCAAATGATCGTTCTCCTTGTTTTCTTTGCATGGATGTGCATTCATTTAAACTTTCTGTGCAGGATTGAATTCAGGTAATATAATTTGTGATAGAAATTTAGATGATTGCTTGATTGAAAAGTTTTGCACTACTCGATTAGCACCTTTATGCTTGTTCTATGTAATGGTGGCCTTGTCATCAAGGGCTGCTAGCGGCGGAGGTGGGTCATTGATGGCGGGCAAAGAGTGGTGTTGGTGGTGGTTATGGTGAGTAGTAGTGGCGGTGAGGGTGGGTGGCTATGAAGACTGGTGGTTGGTAGTGGTGGCAGTAGACGGTGGCGTTGGTGGTAGCGGTGGTTAGTAGTGACAAAGGAAACATGTCGACAATGAAAAAAGAATTTGGTCAAAATTGAGTACTTTTATTTTTCATAAAAAAAATGAATTGCAATGTTTTACATTGGAAAAATAATACTTTATACTACATTAATTTTTCATCCAGCTAAAAATATTATCAAAATTCCTACAAAAGAAATACTTCACATTTATTCAGTTGCTTGAAAAAAAATGCAATCAACCAAAAATAAGTTATGGGAGTTGATATAGTTTCTTTTTATAAATCAGTTGGAAAACTATGCAACAAAAAGGAAGGATTTTTAGTTAGAAATAGCAATTTCAACAAAAAATTGTGAAGCCTAATTGTGCAAAATAAAATATTAATGAAAAATAATGTTAAAATCCTACCATTTGTCTTGTCTTGAGGGAACTTTTATTTGGTCCGGTGAATGTACGTAGAGTTACGTTCGGCTGGCACTAAGATCGCTGGCACAAAACGAGAAATACCGAGCAATACCAACAATAACGAGAAATAATATTATGTGAAGACAAAATATCAAGTTATATCGAGCAATACCGAGTAATTTTAAAAAATACAGAGTTTTTTCTAGAAAAACTCAGTATTTTTTGGGATTACTCGGTATAACTCGGTATTGATCTTCACAGAGCGGTATTCCTCGTTATTTTCAAACAATATCTAGCAATACCGACCAAATACCGAGCAAAAATCGAGTAACAATCTTCTAATCGAACGTAGAGATACGTCCAATCAGAGGACGTAATAAAAGTTCGTCTTGAGGAGGCGAGTTTGAAAATTTCCTCCAGGATTTTTCTTCATCATGGAGCTATGGCTTCTGAAATGTGAGTTGCACGCATGACAAGCTCATTAAACAGAGCGGTAGCGGCAGCTGGATTTCAAAAGCAAATTCTCGTCTATTGATCTTTTTGATCAATAATCAAGCTATTTAAGCCGTAATTATCATTAAAAAATTTGTTATAAGAGCTTTTTTTCTATGTTGATTAAAGAAAAAGGCTTTGATGCTCATTATCAATGTTACATAGAATTCTCTATTTGTTATTATTGTAAAATTTTATTTGATTAATCATTAGCAATTTTACACGTGGGTTTCTTGATGAAACTTTTATGAAAGAAAAAGTTCATAATTAACTATGAAAAGTTTATTGGAGACATTTATTATAAGTCAAGGCCTGATCTCACTGATAATTCAATTTAGTTCTGAAGTAATAGAAATAAAAAAATTTTAGAATAATTAGAATGAATTTGGTTTAAATTTGATAGAGTTAGTGATTTTAATTCTTAGAGTGTCTAATCAACCCTAAATAAGCCAAGAATTTGAATGGAAAAGAGGAAATTTGAGGTTACCAAAAGTTCTCTTTGAGCAGTGCCAGCGCTTTGACATTGAACTCTCTATTGGGGAAGAGGGTTTAGAAGAGTGCTATGCCTTTGGTGGCACTGCCGCGTCACTCTACTCTCAAGTTTGAAGCATATGATCAAAGTATATGGTATATTCAATCGAGGGAAGTGGCACTGTAGAGGTGTGCACTGTAGTGATAGACTTAACATGATATTTTTTTAAAATAATAAATATCTAAACCCAATGGTAAAAATCCTCACCCAGCACATTGTTAGAGAAGAAAGAAGGGAGAGAAGGAGAGGAGAAGAATGAGAAAGAAAAATAAGAGAAGATTTGAGAGCTAAAGTATGGGTTCCATTCGTAGTTGAGAATTTTGTAGAGCATGAGATAAACTTTTAAACACGTCTCTGATTTCAATTTTAATAATTCTATAATAAGTTATGTATAAAAATATATTTTTCTAGGGGTTTTATAATGTTTTCACTCCATAACATTTTATATATTTCTATCTGCTTTAATTTTAATATTTTAACTATAAAAAGTTGAAATTTTATTAATTGTTTTTCTTCATGATGATTTTTATGAATACTGAACAAATGAGACATTCCTGATGGCACTAATAGTTCTTTGAGAGTCTTAAACTTCTATTATGAATATTCCTCTAAATTTGTAATTGAAATGGAAAATATTTAATGAGTATGTTTTTATACCTATAATATTGCTTATTATTGGCATTTCTGACACTCCATGCATTACCATAATTAGGTGTTAAAGGCATAATAATAATCTACAACATTAAATTTATATAATTCATAGTATGACATTAGATAATTTTTAATCTCTAAAATGCGATGTGTACTCTTTGAAATGATACAAAGGCTCTGTATGTTCTATTTTAGCCCCCATCTGTCATATGTAGGTTTGGGAGGGATCTTTGCAAGTGGGCCCACTTGCTGAATGTGAGTGTGGGAGATTATTTTTTTATCTTCTTGCCCGACTTGATGAAAGCAAATGAGATTAAAAGGGAGCTATAAACAAACATCAAGACATGCACAATATATTTATGCATTGCATATTTTGATCATCTAATGAATTAGGTACAAATGATATTCTAAGCTAGTTTTGGTAACTCTAAAATCCCTGTGTAAATTCTTATGAAATAAGAAGGTTAAGTGCAAGTAAGATTCTGATCATAGCTAGCATTCTTTAACATCTCTGATATCCCTATGAAGGTTATATGTGAAAGTACAAGTAATAATCTTGAAGTCAAATATATTTAAATAATCCCAACAAACTACTTTTTGCTAGTACTAAGTTCATGCTTTCTTATCAACTAAACATTTGAATAAATTATTAATAAAATGGATATTAATATGTGTAATGAGATCATCATAAAAGTTTATTAAGGTAATGGTGCTCACCTTGTTAGATTTCTCTAATATTTGAGGAAAAGGGAAGGGCGCAATGTTATAGGAAGAGATTAGGACAGGATAGTTTGATTCAAGACACTTTAGGTATTCTTTTGTAATTCGGTTTAATTATGATGATTTATAGTTGCATGAAAATTGGATTACTATATATGAGGTTTGAGTAATGAAAGTTGGATATTTTTTAGATGATGTTCATTATTTCAAATTTTGTAGTTAGCTGTGGTTTATTCTGCATTTTAGTTGAGTAAAAATTTAGGTTTATGAATTTATTCCTTTTATTAAATCTCGAGGCATTACACTTTATTGAATGAAAAATAATCTAAACTAGCCATGTACTTTTGGCTATGTTCATCCTCAGTGTATGCATGCCCTTTTGACTAAGTTTTTTTTTAATCCAATAATGTCCTTTGGATTTGATACCCCCTTTAATTTGTTCATACCATTTTGGCCAAACCTACCCATTTTAGTCATTCCCTTTTGACTAGAATATTCTTAGTTTAGTTAAGAACTTCTAGTTAAACTATTTTTTAGCTCAACCATATCACGTTTGGCCAAGTTAATTCCAATAGAAACATCCTCTTTTGATTCTACTACTTTTACAAGTGGCCTTCTTTATAGGCCCTCTTAGGCTTAGTCAAACTACACTTGGTTGAGTCTTATCCCAACTTTGTCATGCTCTTTTATTGATTCATTTTGTAATTTAATCATACATTATGGTTAAACACCATTTTACTTCGAGTATACACATATACTCATATCGTTCCATTCCTTCCAAGCGGATGGTCTTTAATCAACTTTTTCCCACACTCTGCATATTAAGAGCCCCTCCTAAATATATTTAACCTTTTCTATCCTTCAAGTTATTGTATTACTCCTAAATTTTTTATTGAGTTATTGTTTTAATTTAATTTTTGGTGGGGGGCTGAATCAATCAATACAGCTTGTTATGTAATAAATAGAGTAAATGTTTAGTATAATCATGAAGAAATCTTATGAACATTAAAAAGGTTAGAAACCTAATGCCTCTTATTTATATATGTTCATATGTGACCATCTAAAGAAGTTAGACCCTTGATAAGATGAATATATTTCTAGGAAGAATATATTTATGTTACATTTGATGAAGTATATTAAATTCAATCCAAAATAGTGATATAGCAGATGAATACATTATTAAAGGTAAAAAGTTAAGCTTTAAAGAAAATATGGATGATACTAATGATATATTTACTCCCAAAGTTCCCAATAAATGGAACCTTAGATCAAAATGTCATTGGAAACAAATATATGTTTAAGAATAATGAAAATTAATGACTTAAATATAGCGATTAAAAATCAGATAAGATAAGTAGTTAGAAAGAATCATCTTTGAGCTCTCATATGTGTTTGTAGCTAAATTAGAGGTCATTTAGTTGATTTATGTCTACATTTTTTTTACCCATCCCTTAATTAAAGATCAATGTTATAAGCTTTGAAGATGTTAGGCATGTTAAACCCATCTTTATGGAAAATGGTTTTTTTCTACTTAAGGGACTTACTTGTATATATTTTAATGGTTGTGTTAAATTGATTTATTGTTTAAACTTATTGTTATGTTGGACAATGGTACTTCTACTCCCCACTCCCATAAGGGAAATATGATGAGTCTTTAATACATATGCACTCACTCTTAATTGCATGCACTTGCTTACTCATATATTCCACATTATTGAAATTTCTATGTTTAAACATGATCTCAAGGAGAAAGTACCTATTCTAAATATTTTCTAAGTAGAGCTATCATTATCAAAAAATGGGGATTGTTGACCCTTTGAGCCTACTATATAAACTTAACTTGATGAGAATAAATATACTACGAAAATTTTTCTAGTAAGTGTTTGAGTTTTGTACATATGTACTAGAAATTCAATCAGGTCCAACTAACAAACAAGCTTCAGACAATGTTTGTTCATGAGTTGAATCCGATTCAATCAAGTTGAAAATAAATTTGGAGCAATGTTCGAAAATTATAATAATATATTTAAGTTCATTTTGATTTTAGTGTTCATAAGTAAATGCATACTATTGCTAGAGACGAAAACTTTGTAAAAATATATAGCATCACTAAATTTCATCAATGATCATCAATTAGCTAGAGACAGAAATGAAAACATTGGATTGAAATGTTTCCTCAAAACCATTACTCATGAATGAAGATCTAAGAAGAAGAAGATGTGAGAATATGAGGTGTCGATCAAGTTGTTCGAATGGTCGCTTATATAATACCATAGTCTCTTTAAAATTTTGAGGTATTTTAGTAATGTTACATATGAGCTGAAGTTAATAAAACATCAGAAAATAATAGAATAACAGTTTTGTTTGGTTCGCTACAAGCAGCTCCGGCATCAGTGGCTCTCTCTTTCCAGACCAATCTTTGTGCATTTTTTGCCTCAGTATCCTATCTTGACAGAAACTCAAGAAGTGCATAACCTAAGCTAATCGTCCATGCATGGCGGCTGAAGCTTTCTCCTTTGCTATCACTGCTTTAAAAGGACGATTTTTCAGAAGCCATAAATAAGCATTAGTGGATACAACAAGTCATAATAGTTTATGACAGATTAAAGGCCAAAGACTGAAGCATTCCAGTTAGCTTAATAGCTGTTCCATTGTTAGCACTTGCAGGGCTAATACAGGCAACAGGATTTTGTCTCTTGTTGTCGGTCTTTTGCTTCCGTTGGCTTCGCTGATGATTCGACATTGGGAATCACCTGCGCTCAGTTGCAGAGTTCCAGTCGCAGAGTCGTAAAGAAGAAAAAGCTTGGCGTGTCATTCGTTCAACTGCGGATGGTTTCTATGGACTTCTTCCATTTGTTGCTCGTACTGAAGTTTCCACAACGGCAGAACAGCACTTCTTTTGACCGGCTGAGAAAACGACCGGGCAAAAAATTAAGGGCCAAAATTGTATTAAAATTCTTGAATATGCTTTAAGATTAGTGGAAAACGGACATTATATGAGCAAAAAGGAGTTGCCTAAATACTCCATCTATGAGAAAAAGAGACGTCCAAATAAATGCACAAATTGAGTTATAAGGAAAATGATCAAAGATTACCATATATTATTAACTATTTTCTAATAAAATTTGAATGGTAGGAAAGAAAAATAGTCATTGATATGTCATAAAAAATTTATCCTGATCGTGCATGAATCTTGAGGCAAAATCAAGTCAGAAACTTTCATAATTAAATATGGGACCAACCGAACTCAAATTTCAGCAAACTAATAGTTGAACTGATAGTCTCAAAAATATGTACCCAACAACACCAAATTAGACTCAATCCGAGCCCAAATGGGTTCAAATCGAACACCCGAAGCCCATTTGGAAAGTTCAAACCATAAATTTAATGACCAAACGATTTTAGAAAGTGATTTGCCTCAAATCGAGTGGCTCGATGAGAAAAATCCAACAAGCTCAAGATCGTCGAATTGTGATCTGTGAATTAAGACATGCAAATGCACTAAAAATGATCAACGATCAAGGGGGTCAACATCCACCGTCCATTCAAATCACTCCTGACTCATCCTTAATCTCTCTCATTTTTACTACTTTTATCATCCTCATAAAACTATAAATAGACTCATCATTCCTCGTGGAAAGCGCCTCAAGTAAAAAAAAGAAAGAAGAAAATGAAGGGAGAGAAACTAGAGTTCTTTTATCACCAAACTCCTCCTCGTCTATAGTCGAACTTCCGCCTAGCCACTGACTGACGCTGGTCTACCCGACCACCATTTAGGATTGTTTGGGACAATTTTCTTGTTACTTTCTAAAGTAACTTTTTAGTAAAAAAAATTTGTACTAGCAAAATTTCTTTAGAAAATAGTAAAAAAATTGTCTCCTACTAAGCCTTAATTTATTACGAAATTAGTGTAATATATATATTTAGTTAAATAAAATATGTATTATAATCATATTAAATTAAATCAAATACTACAAAATTTGTTTTTAATAAACATAGAAAAACAAGCTTTTCTAATATTATCTTTTCTGAAAATTGTACTTATGTTTCGTTGGTAATAATTTATTATTATTTTTTAAAATAATTTTTTAGTAAAAAAACTTTTAGTTTATTATTATTATTATTTTTTGTATTTTTATTGCCCAAACGAATTGAAAAAAAAAAAAAAAACAACGGGCCTTTATATAACGACGGCTACGGCCCCGCCAAGGCGATAAGCTAGATAGAATTCGAACAAGGCGCGCCGATGGCCGTTACAAAAATATTTATTCCGAAAATACCCTTCAAGGTCTCCCACCTCTGCTACCTTCTGTTCTTTTCCATACTTCTCTTACTAGAAATCTCCGCCTCTACAGCAGCTGGCGATTGCGCTGCCGACAGCCCGCCGGAACCCTCTAACCCTCTCATCGCCTTCCTACAGCGCCTCCAATCTGACGCTCTCAAGACCCTAGGCCCCGAATCCTTCAACTCCAAGCTCTACGTCGATCTCTCTCTCAAGCATGATCTCGCCTTTACAGAAGCCGCTTTCGCAACGCTCCCTAGGATTAACGGAATCATTCCAGCCTCCTACCTGCAGAGATTCTTGGATGGCTATTTCGGAGAGGCCGGCAGCGATTTGGTGTACGCCGAGCCCGATGACTTCGAGCCGGAGCCAGAGGGCTTTTTGCCCAAGGTGGAAAACTCCGTGGTTAGGGCTTGGGCTCTGCAAGTGCATTCTTTGTGGAAGAATCTTAGCAGGAAGGTGTCCGATGATGTGAAGGAGCGGCCGGAGAGGCACACTCTACTTCCCTTGCCGGAGCCCATGATCATTGCGGGAGGGGTGTTCAGGGAGCTCTATTATTGGGATTCTTACTGGATTGTTAGGTTTGTGTCTTTCTCTTATTATTTGGGTTATTTTTATCAAACTTTCTGTTGTTTTGAATTATGGGCAGAAATCAGAAAAGTCTTAATCTTGATTTTTTTGTACATAATTTTTTTTTCCTATTTTGATTTATAAAATTTCTTTTGGGCCTTTTGATGTCGTGTAGGGGCTTGATGGTAAGCAAAATGTATGACACAGCCAAAGCTATTGTGAACAACCTTTTATGGCTAATGGATGTTTATGGCCATGTGCTAAATGGTGCAAGGGCCTACTATACAAATCGCAGGTGGTGTTCTGACATGAATTCTCGCTTATTTTCACAACTCTTTATGTTTGCTTTTTTGCTGTTTTGCATCGCGGCATAGTTGGCTTAATTGGATTATTAAAATGCTGGTAAAAAAATTAGTTCTAAAATTTTTCAAGGCTGCAAATGATTGAGCTTTGAGCTTGTCCAACATTTCTAAAGATTGAATGAATCAAAGCTATTCAATTTGATCTTGAGCTGAGCTTGGCCTACTCAAAGGCTTGCTTGACCAAATTTAGATTTGCTCAAACATTTATCAAGATTGAATAGCTGCATGTACTTGTAGATACATCCAGTTACATTTCAAGCCAATCTTAATCTCAATTCTATACAACCTATTAGTATCCTCATTGATTTCCATGCAAGCTTAATCCGAACTAAAAATTGATCCCACATTTTTGAGCGATATTCAATCTTTGAGTCAAATTCAAAATTCTAATCTTTTCTTAGAATCTACCTCTTTAATAATTATATTAGAGCAAAATTTGTAACCAAATCACCAAGTTCTTCAATGTCTTGAATTTATTGCATTCATTTCCTTTATTATAAGTAGATCTATTGTGTTCACTAAACGTTAGAACATACTTCGTAAATGCTCTTAGATTTTCATGTCTGTATCACCATAACTGAAGTTTTGGTTCTATGAATTTCTTCAGCCAACCTCCGCTATTGAGTTCAATGGTAATGGAGATCTACATGAAAACTGGTGATTTAGCTTTTGTCAACAAGTCATTTCCTTCACTAGTAAAAGAGCATACCTTTTGGAATTCAGGTACTACAAAGTTGTATTGCTCTTTTATTATAGTTGCTCCAAGGGCTTACTTCACATGAAGAGTTTCCTTTAATACTACATTTTAACCTTACTCTTCATAAATATGATATTAAAGGAATCCATAAAGTGATGATTAGAGATCTTCAAGGTCATGAACATTCTTTGAGTCGGTACTTTGCCATGTGGAATAAACCTAGACCAGAAAGTGCAACAAACGTATGCTATGACTAAGCTTCTATTCTATTAGATTATATCTGTCATGAATACAAAATATTTAAACCTATTCAAACATGCTTCCGGTAATTGATACTTCTTAATTCTTCTGAAGGATGAGGAGACAGCTTCCAAGCTTCTAAATTCTTCTGATAAAGAAAATTTCTACCTTCAGATTGCTTCAGGAGCGGAAACTGGATGGGATTTCAGCTCTCGGTGGATGAGGTATCAGCTTGTCATTTCAACCACTTTCTATCAATATTTCTCAAGTAAAAATTATTTTATTACTTCTGAAAGAAATCCTCCTTCTCTTATATGTAATATATGTTATTCTATTTGCAAGATTATATATCATGAATTGAATGAGTACAATGAATTAGTGAAAATTTTTTATGAATAAAAAATGACAAACTCCTATTAACATGGAGAAGCAAAGAGGGAGAAAGAAAACAATACCGACTCTTCCCAAAACAACCACCACTTCTAAAACAAAAAAGATCCGTGTCTCACCTAGGGAGCGACACATAAGAAGATGAGGTCATCCCTGTCAAATCCAAGAAGATCAGCCAGTACTTCTACACAATATTCTACTCGGAGCTTGTTTAAAGGGAAGAAGAAGGCAAAAAATTCAGTTTACGACTATAACTACAACTCTAGCTACATGAGCAAGGTGCACTGTGTCTTCTCAATAAATAATATGTAGCTTGTCAATATCAAACAACGTATTCATAGTCATGAGTCTAACTCCACGACACTTTAAGGAAATTATCCCTTGAGAGGTGAATAATGTTGGAAAGCTCAAAACACTCTACGTACCTCCTCTAAGCAAAGGGACTAGGCTAAGAAGTCTAGTCTACAAAGTTGGAGAGCGTGAAGAAGAAAATGAATGATCACTCTAAATTGCAAATGCTAAATGATAATATGGACCCTTCAAATGCACGATAAAATTCGGAATATAAGATGCCAATCAATAATCTAAAACATTCAAATGAACATCAATCAATAAACATAAAGCTTATGTCAGCTTATGTTGAATAAAGAACTTCAAATACAACCAACTACTTCTTATTCATAGAAGTCATGAGTGCAAATCTCAATTAGCAACGATGCTAACTTTATCACTCACATCATAAGCCAATTAACGACGTCGTGCACAAAGAGTTGTTTAGATGGTGGTGAAAATCAACACACAATAAATATGATAACTAGTCAACAGATTTTGTGCAACAAGTGCACCATCCATATAAGCAAAATAAGGAGGTTGTGAAGAAGTTAATTTCCTTACCATCTATGTCAGTTAATTTGTAAATGAATACATATCAAATTCTCGCAAATGACGACAGCCAACATACAATGAATACGAATGACATATGGTAAATGTGAAAACACTTTATTATCACATTTACCATCAATGTCAAAGTACAAACAAAGGCAACTGACCTTGCAAGCAATAAAATTAAAAGAGATACTCACAAATGAAGCATGAGGGATATACAATAAATGCAACGAAGGGATAGAAGAATACAAGCTTCTATGAGTTGCTACAAAAGACCCTCTATCCATAAGCGCAAACATCAAGTAGTGTATATGTATATCATATACATAAATCATGCAAATGCTGGTGAGCATCGATCATAATGAATGGAGTAAATACTGGCAGCATGCAACAAATGCAACAACACCATGCATTCAATATCAATATATGAATTGGCACATTGAATCATACATGCAATGCAACATGCATGCAATGAAACTCGACCAATACTCAACATCGACATGCATATGAACACATTAGTTTGCATGCAACTGACGACAAAGAAGATGTTGCAAGCACCTACGAACTATTGTAGAATGTTTGTACGAGCATAATAAACATGGTATGTCTAGAAGAAAACAACAAGGAGTGTGTAGTGACAACATCCTAGCGGTTGTGTACTAAGAATATAGAATGTCTATAAAAAAAGGGTGCAACAAGGCTATAAAGGAAATAATCTCCTTGATACCAATATCAATCAATTTGCAAATGAACATATAGTAACTTGCCTACGAGCAGATGTGGAAGAGTTACATCAAGTACTATAGCTTGTAAGCAGCATTAAAAAGTCTACATCCTCAATGACTTGTCTGCATATGTTAGCATAAGGCCCATGATATGCACAACACATCATCTACAAGTAAGAATAACATATGTGCAATGCATATGATTTCCTACGAGTTACAGTAGGAAACTTCTTATTCACGTAGTAGTTTACCTACGAGCAACAATTGACAATATGTGACCAGCATAACAGAACTCCTTGTAAACATATGCAACATAGTATACAATAAACACTAACATCTGCTAACAATGATGGGGGACGTATTGTATGCACAATGATACACCTATGGGGAATGATTAACAACAAGAAAAAAATGATATGGTGCCTTTACGGTCAGCAAATATCTAATGGAAAATAAATACATCGTCCTTTTGCAAGTAAATATGTACGGCGTGTAGCAAATGCAAGCACCTACAAGTTATAACAGGAGACTAGTTAATGCACAATAGTCTACCTGCATAAAGAAACGAGCAACCCATAGTGCGACGTCATAGGATCTGCAACACTCATACAAGCAGATATAAGACGTCTACAAGCTCTCAAATAAAGTGTTGTGTGCATTCAAATGACAGTTACATGCACCATTGACCAACTTCAAATATTCAAAAAATGCCCCACACATACATTACAACATGTATACATACAAATGTGAAAGTGTACATGCAAGCATGTTAATCATATACATGTAACAATATACACCTGTATGGGCCCCTAACGAGTATGTTATGGGTAACACACAATGTTTGAGGATGCTGCACGGGTCAAATGATAAATTCAAATTCGAGCCCGATCATTATATACAGTAGATAGGAGTTGATAAATTTTGAACTATCAAATGAATATACAGTCACAACGTTGATCGAGATGTTAATTTTAATACGTTTTTTTTAAGCCTTCAAGGCCTATAACCAATAAAATTTATTAGTAAAAGCATACAACCGACAATGGACCCAATCCTATGTCAATAAGTATGCATAGTCGATAATGTTCAATCAGTGAAATAAAATGCCTATAAGTACCCCATTGATGTCGTGTTGACAGAAAATCTTAACTGAAGGAGTTCACAAACACTTAAAAAGCCACTCAAATGCCCAAAAAAATCCAAAATACCACAAACTACAAAAACCTAAAATAGTTGAAATTAAAATGAATCACCAAAATGCTTAAAAGCAAAACTCATCCACCCTCCGCAACGGTTTGCCGAGGTGGACAAATTTAAATATAACTTTAATTTACAAAGAGCTAATGTTTGATCGAGAATATCACTAGAATTTATTCTCAAGTAGTTTCTTGCTAGCAAGGACGTATAAAATGTCCTTTAACCGGCGGTTTTGCTTCTAAATGTCACTGTAGGTAAATGGCTATGTTCAAGGCCCTCTAAACTAGGTGGTTTGCCACTAAATGACACCACTAAATTATGGTCATGGCCAGATCCCGTATGCTCCCCAATGACACTAAATCCTTGATATATGAATTAATATGATATGATTGATAGAGCATAAAGTCCTCTGTTAACTAAGGTAGATTCAAATTTGTCCCCTTAGACCAATACTCACCTCAGGTTTATAAGGTAACATTGGACGACGTAATCCATGGTTGTCGACAAGGATCCTTATGTCAGGTTTGGTCGACTACCTCCTCTGACAAAGTAGATCAGGGACCATGATGACCCGAGATGATAGAATCATGGGATTTTGATCGTGTCCATGATTCATCCTCCCCACCATTCGCTTTAAATACTAGGTGGTGGATTTTTAATTTTAAATATTAAATTTTCAAATATCAACTCATGCTGCTACTATACACTAGATACCACGTATTCTCTAAGCATCTTTTTGACGACTAGCCTTAATCGAAAGTTTTCTCTCGCTATCGGGAGGGGTAATTAACTATAAGGGTTTGCGCCTATAGGAAACCAAAACTCATGTCATAAAGTCCTCGCAAAATGAGGGTGAGATCTCTGGGTAGTGTCTTATTTCAAACCCAATCTACCTTTTGAAAATTTTACCTCGGAACTTAATTTGTTAAAACTCTCCCAAAAGAGGGGGAATCGGGGTGCGAATTTTCAGAGCCCACATCATCTTTAGTTTTTCCACATATATCTTAAGATTCACATTTCTTTCCATGTTTTGAATGGCTATCAGTTGTTCGCTTTATATTTAAAACTCTGATCCACAGACTATTGCAAACTAATTGCATTATTATTAAGTTTTCCTTCAAGTAATAATAGTTTTGTTTTATTGTATAGTGTTCATAAGGCACTGCACCATTTAAACCTCTTGGTTAACTCTAGACTTCTCTTCCTTATCTTTATCTTTATTCTTTTATAGAGTAGAGCTAACATACTTCAATTTACCATACCCACGTATCTCTTACTCTTCCAACGAATTGTCTATTATTATTAGTTTCACAACTACAATAATATCAAACATTTATCCTACTATGTGGGGTGACTACATGAATCCTTTTTCTTCATTGTGTCATGTTAAGAGTCAAATTCTCATTAAATCTAATAAAGAAAGGTCATTTTTAATACTTTCTAACCAAGTCTTTTTAGGTTTACCTATATATTTCTTAAAAAATCTAATATATCTACTCTCCTAACTGACTCATCGAAAGTTGACATTTATGTGACCAAACCATCTAAAGCTACTTTCTTCTAATATTAACTATCACTGGAGCTACTCCAACATTTTCATGTATATACTTGTTTCACATTGTGTTTTGATAGTGAAGCCACTCATCCACTTGAGCATCCTCATCTCTACAACACAACTTCATTTTATGCTTCTCTTTTAATGGCCAACATTCTACGCCATAAAGCATTGCAGGTCTCACCACCATCTTATAGAATTTTCCCGTAAGTTTTGAGGGGTGTTTTTCTATCACACAATAGGCCCGATGCATTCCTCCACTTCAACCACCCAACTTCAATTCAAAATGTCCTAACTTCCGATCCGGCGGGAATGGAAAGTCGTCGATGGGAGCGAAGTCGCACAGCTACGACGGGGTCGGAGGCAGCGAAGTCGACCGGCCACGCAGAAGCCGGTGATAGCGCACGAAATGGAGGAAGTTATCTTCTCGGCCGAGCGAGCTCCCGAGTTGCTTCCGATCAGACTGTCGTAACTTCCGGTCCGACAGTAAGGGAAAGTCGGAGATGGAGCGCGGTCGAACAACCTCGAAGAGCTACGCAGGAGTCCGGAGAGGTAGAGAGCTTGCGGGGGAATGAGGTCGGCCGACAGTGGAGATCGGTCTGGCCTCAGTCGGAAGAGGGAGACGGGGTTGAAGCTTGAGGCTATGGGAGAAGTGTCGTGATCGAGAGAGGCTTGCGATGCTTCAGCCCCGTTTGCTCGGTATTTAAAGACCCGAAATAGGAGTGGGATCGAGGACTGGTCGCAGGATTTCCGCAGACATCCCGGAACGGCGCCGTGCTACAGCGATTTTGCGGGATTTACGGACTGAGACGCACGGGATTTGCTGGATTCGACGGCTTCTCGATGGATACGAGGTTAGTCTGATTTTTTTTTTTGTTTCCTTTGTGCTTTATACAGAGGTCAACAAGAAAATATTAGAAATGATCTTTTTTTATTAGATTTAAATGAGAATTTGACTTTTAATATGACACAATGGAGGAAAAGGATTCATGTAGCCAACCCCACGTAGTGGGATAAAGGCTTGATGTTTTTGTTGTTGTTATAGCAACAACATTTTTTTAAAAAAGGTTTCCCAGTTTGAGTTATATTATTTGCAGATGGCATACCAATGTACCATGATTTTTAAAATCAGTTTGCATTTCCATAACCAATATAAAAGGATACAAGTTTTTTAGTGAAAGTGTAATCCTATTGTAATTTAGAACTCTTTTGTCACTACAATTATAAATAGAAGTTGACATTCCATCATACAGAACTATAGCAAATTAAACATATGTTTAGCAAACTTTTTTTTTTAACATTGCTCAAATCAATTCTCATTATACTCACCTGAATGCCTCCTAAGATAAATACAAATGATATGTAGTTTTTGTTTTTAGCTATCCATACTCTTACATTATTTGCTTTACAGATAAGCCACCTATATAAAAGATACTTTGACATGAAATTAATCAAATTGATTCTACAATAACAATATGCAATTTCTAAGCCGTTGTTAAAGTGCCCTCTCCCAACATTTTATTATAAAACTTGTAAACTTTATTCATAAGTAACTATTTAAATTTTAAATATCTCATAAATGATTATTGTATTATTGTAAACAAATTTCTTATTCACGCAATGTTGACCCTTGAGCCTATTTCAACGTCACATGGCTATAAGAATTTTTCTTAGCTAAATATTTTAGTAAAGAAATGTATAAAGAGCTATTCATACCTTTTCCAAGTCTTGCTTTATCAATGTTCACTGTATCAGTCACGGACAAAGTTGTCATGCAGAGAACAATATTTTATTCTTATCTTTGTCAGACATTAACATGAGTGTATATTTATACTTCCATAGTCACGTATAAATAGGCACAAATCAAAATGTAGAATATGCCATGTTCTTCTACACTACTTGTAAGTTTAACTCAACTAACTGTTGATGAAGTTATGATACATTCAAGAATGTTTGTTCGTGTCTCTCTCAGAAATTAGAATAATTGTATATACATATGTCCATATGCATGTATAAAAAGGCAAAAATTAATATGTAGCTTATGACGAGTTCTAGTCAACTGGCTTTTTTGTTTTTCTTTTCATGATCTTATTATATATTTGTTTTCTTGCAGTAATGCTTCTGATCTGACTACATTATTAACGACGTCGATCATTCCTGTTGACTTGAATGCTTTCTTGTATAAGGTGCTGTCTGAATAACTCCTCAAATATTTGATTACCCTTAATTTCTTAAAATTTCAGAAGAAATCCAAATGTAATAAAAAAAAATGGAGGTAAGAGTAATGAGCCATTGGAATTCAATTAGTTGAAGTTATCATAAGTTATTCATACTAATCTAATGTAAATGTACTGGTACTATTACCATTGTAAAATTGGTAGGTGCATAGCTGAAAGGCTATCAAGGTAACATAACAATAATATGTGGATCAAATTAAATATTTCTTTACTTAAAAAGAAAGCATTAGAAAAATCAGTTAAAATCTCCATTGTATTTCCTTATATGATACTCACTACCATAATGATCTAATATGCCTATGTACTGAGTGTATGTGTGTTTTGGGTTTCTAAATTTAGTTTTTCATGTTTGATCATTTGTTGCTTTCATAAGCTCACCAGTGCCAAATTCCAAGTGTTTAATTCATTGGACATTTATGCATATAATTTAAGAGCGTACATAAAACCCTCCTATTGTGCATATTATTAATTGTGTAACATGTTGTGTGAGTTATTTAACTGTGGCACACTATGATGGCATACGCTTATACAGTTGCACTTTCAAGATTCATATGGTAATTTTTTGTGAATATTTTCATCGGTGCTCAATAATTAGTTTAGTATTTTATGCCTATTTTTGTTTATAAATTTAGGAGCATTGTGTTGATATTGTAATTGGTTTGTTGTATGAATTGAAGTCTTATTATGAGATGGAAAATGGAAAATAACTAAATTGTCCTGCCGTCGTCCTACTTATAAGCCACTTACATTTCATTTCTCCTTCCACCAACCATTGGAGAGCAAGAGAAAGGCAAAGGGATAAAGAGAGAAGAATTCTGCCCTCTGAGTCATATGGACCCTATTTAGGATCTAAGTTAGTTGGAAGAGTTATTCCTGATGAGGTAGAATATTGTTCTCCTACTTTAGTATAGGCTTTGAAAGGTATTCATATGGTTACGGACTTGTCCAAATTTTATTCTCATTCAGAGTTTTGAGAAGTGTTTGCTAAGCATCATGAAATTTAGAAGATATATTATTCAAATATGTTATATATTTCTCTTGGATAGCAATTTGGATTTTCCAAAATTTTAATTAAATATGGTGGATCAAGGTTTCCCATTGGTGCAAGCCTTATGATTAATTATATCTCAATTGTGATGCCCAAAAACACTCAACTTGAAGGACATTATTATGCTATGGATTAGGTGATTTATTCGATTTGGGACATGGGTAGAGAGGTCAGCTTGATCAAGATATTATGATTCCATTATCTTTGGTCGGCTTGATGGTTCTAATCTTACAATGACTAAGGGTTAGAATGCCATGTCATCTAAGTAGTTTAACTAACATCCATGAGTTCACTACTATTAGATATCCTTAGCTGATTAGGATGCCAAGTAAGCTTAAGGATACTTGTTCTCTTTTGTTGAGATCTAATGGCCTAGACATGAATCAAATAACTTTTAAGGAGATCAGTATTGTTGTTTGTGTTTTAAAGGATTTTCATCTGATCATTAATGTTCAATGCATTAGACTTGATAGATTGGTGTACAAATTGTTTAAAGTCTTAATGCAGGGAAATTTATCGACTCATGATCGAGTCCTAGACTCGTTTTGGGGAGGAGAGTACCATATATCAAAAAATGGAGACATTTTATGCTTCCTAGGATATTATTATTTATTGTAGGGCATATGAGATATTTAACTCAATATGTCCCTCAAAGGAAACCACTTAAGCTAGCATTTTTTGGTAAATAACATTTTTGTGTGTGAGCCATGAGTTAAGTACTCGTATGTGGGCTGTAAAAACTTATGATCGAGCTCAACTGACAGAGTTTTGGATCAAAATTTTAAAATATAGATTATGTTGCAGATAAGACACTACCCAAAAAAATTTCAATGTTATTTTGTAAGGACTTTAAGATCTAATTAAAAGCTTCTCATGGGGGTAATCCCCTGTGATTAATTACCCCTTTTGGTGACAAGAGAGAACTTGTTATGTAAACAGCAATCCTCTTGTAGATTGAAATGGAGGCACCTAAAATTAACAGAGGAAACCTATCATACATAGAATAAATCACATCAAGATAAGATATATTGAATGCAGCGATGCTTTGCAATTAACACCAACAGGCTGTGTACAACTTGCTACTGCCAACAAGTACATAAAGACCACCTGAGATTGGTAAAAGGTGGATATGATGCAGGAATAATGACTTTTCTACGAATACTTTCATGAGACCGTATTGAATACAACCAGTCCCTGTAAATAAACATGATCCATTTGTGGATAACATCCATTTGTGGATAACAATAGTGTGCACGCTGTGGAAGACCCCTGTGGATACAAAAATATACAAGAGCATATGACAAATAATAGCATCGGCTGACTCTTTGAAGAGAACCCTTGTATGAGGAGGACACCTTTCTTCCTGGCAAAATGGAAAAGATATTTGAAGAAATTCGAACTAAAACCTCATGGTGTTCCAAAGTTTCTTCTTTGCCTTTTGTCTGAGAGAAAACATCTCTGACATCTATAGGCCTTGGAAGTGCAAATGATCTTCGAAGTCTAACATTGCTGCACAATATACAATGCACATTTATAGTGCTATGGTACCGCCTCTGCCGATGTTGCTCAACCAAGGAATATAAGTACCTACTCTGACTGAATCCTCCTATGAGAAGGACACCTCTTATAAGAATGGAAGAGATATTTGAGCAAATTCAAACTAAACTTCTTAGTGTTCCAAAGTTTCTTCAAGAAAATGTAAATTCCTTTAATGCCTTCATGACGATCAGACTATTATTCTTATTGAAGAAGTCAGGAACGACAAGAGCACCCATATACCTCAACTTATCTCAAAGGCTAATTACTTAACTATGGAGGCTACATCTTATACAAATCCACTTTACTGGAGACTCTGAAAAGGATTATTTTCAAGGTAGCGGCCACTGATTTCAAAATATAAGACACAAATAAGAATGCAATTATCTGAGATTGAAATGATTGATTCTTTATCTAAGCCAATAATAGAAAATGATGATGATAACATAATTAAAGAGCTGCTTATTAATCCCTATATGAGCCCTAGAAAGACTTCTCAGTGAATGAGAAAAGGGAGTTTACATTAGAACAAAAAGATATATCGTGGGAATTAGGTGACAACGCTAAGGTTCACCTGTAAGCAAAAGTAGAGAATAAGTAGTAAAAATCATGGGCCGCTGAAGCGTGACGTCACGCCACCAGATCCGCAACATCCATGCAAGTGGACAAAAGGTGTTTTTGTAAATATCCCAAAATGCCTCCTCACATGCACTATAATATATATGCACATAGGTACATAAAAGAGAAAAGTGCAATCATAAAACCCGTATGAGCCCCGACGAGCTTGTTATGGGTAAACACGTGACGTCTAGGGATGCTGCGTGGGTCAATAAATGAACATAGTTCAAGCCCGATCCTTCTATATGAATAGATAAAAGTCGATATGGCTCGAACTATGAAACAGATATACGATCAGGGTATCGACCTGAATATCTATTTAATACGTTTATATAAAGCCTTTAAGGCCTCCAACAAAGAAAATTCATTAACAAAATCATAAAGCCAACAACGAAGCCAATCCTCTCTCGACAGCTCAATATAGTCGACAAGGTTCAATTTATAAATAGAAATGACCTCAAACACCCCAATGATGGCCGTGTTGAATACATATCTCAACCGGAGAGGTTAATTTCAAATATTTCAAAATGCCATCCCAAGTACCTGAAATTCAAAATTTTTCAAAATCTCAAACTCTAATATATTTAAAAATGAAATCCAACTATGAAACTCTTAAAGAAAAATCCATACACTCTCTATAACAGTTTGTCAGGGTGGATAAATTAAAATTTACTTCAGCTCACATAGAGCTAATGCTTAGTTAAAAATACCACTATGATCCATTCTCAAATAATCTCATATTTAGTTCAAGTGTAAGTGATTGTTTAAGCTCATATTCATCTAGATTTAAGTTCATCAAGTTTACAAGTCCCACTTGATGTTATATAGTTTAAGTTCAAGTGCATGTCCACAGTGCAAATTTCTTGTTCAAAGTCTTCTGAAGTCTTTACAAGTTCAGTTGCATTCAAATTGATTTGAATTTGGCTCTAGCCTAATCTTATTTTACTTGGGCTTAGCCTTTTATTCATCATTTAGATTACAAGTTAAGGTTCAAGTTCACAAGTCATTTGAATCAAAATTAGGTTCAAGCGCAAACTTATATTCACCCGAAATTTCGGCAGCCTCCCGGTGTCTCCCCCGTTTAAGGAAAAACTACGAGGAACTAGGCCTTCCCACCACGTTAAGAAAAACATGTATGATAGGTGTCCTCGGACGAGAACATCGCGGCCATAAAATCTTCGTCCCCACTATGCTAAGAAAAACGTGTATGAGTCTTCAAATATACCTGTTGTAAGAGAAAAACAGTTGTTTCTCAGCAGGTATAGAGCTATGTACGGGTACTTAAAAATTGTCTCGACCACGCTAAGAAAAGCATGCACCGGGCATATTTGCCTCGTCGCATGTGTCGCATCGGGTTCTCTCCTACTACGATAAAAAAAACTTGTATAGGTGGTTGACCGGCTCGTCACACACACCGATGACAGGATTTTGAAGTCAAGGGCTGCTTACCTTCATCGTCGCAAGTGTCGCACAGGGTTTCCTCATACCACGCAAAGAAAAGCATGTATAAGTTGTTAACCGGCTCGTCACGAGCGTCGAGGCAAGGCAATCTTAATTAATAATTAATAAAAAATTATTTATAATTAATTATACTTAATAAATAAATAAATAATTATATGTAATTTATAATTAATTATAAATTAATTGATTTTAATTTATTATTAATTTGAACTAATTATAATCAATCATAATTAATTTATAATCAATTATATTTAATTTAAAATTAATTATAAACTAATTTTGTTTAATTCATAATTAAGTATAGATTACCTATAATTAATTACAATTTAAATTAAATTTGAGCCGTATTTATGCTGGATTTAAACAGGATTTATACTAAATCCTTTCAAACGGGATTTGATATCGCTGTGAATCTCAGGGCTGAATCAATCCTCGGTTTTTCTCTTTTGATATCGCTGTGACGTAATAATTGTTTCGCCTGAAGTTTTATTTGGTCCGATCGACTAACATTCGGTCGCAGACAAAATTTGGGAGGGATGTATAAGCAGGGGGCTTATAATAGACGAGATAATCATATTTGTCTGAAGGTTGGCCAAGTGTGCCAACATGGGGGTGATTATTTTGGTATTGGTTCCAGATATAGGCTTCAGTCGTCGTAGCGATCGGTTCAGCCACTGGTTCATCGTCCGCAATTTCAGCAGCAATAGGAGTGACAACCGTAGCGACCGGTTCAGCCACCGGTTCATCGTCCGCAATTTCAGCAGCAACAGGAGTGACAACCGTAGCGACCGATTCAGTCACCGGTTCATCGTCCGCAATTTCAGTAGACCTTAACTAGGTCGCAGGCAAAATCACGCTGTACCTTAACTAGGTACACCTCCGTACAGCAGCGGGATTTTGACTTTAGGTTTCTCTGCGTCAGCTCGGAGGACGTAATAATTGTTCCGCCTTAAGGGCTCATTCGGCAGCAGGATTTGGTCGAAGAAGCTCGCGGAAGGCAGAAAGTTACCTTCGCAGCGTGCGGGTTCCGTTGTGCTTCCGATTGAAATGTCGTGGCTCCCAATCCGACAAGAAGTAATGTCGGAGATGGAGCGAAATCGAACAGCTACAAAGGGCCGAAGAAGCGCGCGGATAGGTAGGAAGCTATCTTCACAGTCGGCGAGCTCCCTTTGTCGCTCCCGCCAAAATGTCGTAACTTCCGATCCGTGGGGAAGGGAATGTCGTCAAAGGAGCGGAGTCGAACAACGACTAAGGAGCCGGAGAAGCGCTCGGATAAGGAGAAAGCTTACCTCACAGTCAGCAAACTCCCTAGGTTTCTTCCGATCGAAATCTTGTAGCGTCCGATCTAACAAGAAGGGCGAGTCGTCTAAGGGGCAAAGTTGAACAACACGAAGGAGCCGAAGTAGCAACGCTTGCAATCTTTACAATTCCTACGAAGCAACAAAGCCGAACAACGAAGAAGTGCGTGAGAGGAAGAGGGAAAGAACGGTAGACCCGAACACTTCCTTTCTCCGCTATTTAATGACGAGCGACGATTTGCCAAGGTATGCGGGATACGACGTTGGATGTGCGTGGAATGGCGACGACGTGCGTGGGTCGTGGGCGTAGGGCTCGAGTGGGATGGGGAAGAGAGCAGGTATGGTATATATTTTTTTTAAAATTTTTTTGTTTTTAGGTGCAGGTTAACAATGTCAGATGGTGTCATTTTAAATTTTAAAAACCAAATCTCTAAACTGCCAAATACCTAAAAGCCCGTGATGCGGGCAGCCCGGGTACGCGAAAGCCAGGCAGAGCGGCCTGAGTGGGGAAGCCAACGGGGTAGCCAGGCAGCCGGGGTGTGGGGCAGAGCGGGGCAGCCGCCAGCCAGTCAGCCGGGTCAGAGCCGATTCCGGGTCAATTTCGGGTTTCCGGGTCAACCCGAACCGATTTTGCAAACGGGTCGATTTTTCGGACCCGAACCCGACCCGCTTCGGGTTCGGGTCAACCCAAACCCGAAATTTCCGGGTCGGGTTCGGGTCAGGTTTACGGGTCGGGTCCAATATTGATAGGTCTAGTATCTACGGATACTTCGTATTTGATTGAAGACCAACCTTAATTGAAAGTTCTCTCTAGTTGTCGGGAGGGGTAATTAATTATGGGGGCTTGCGCCTATAGGAACCAGAACTTAGATCATAAAGTCCTCGCAAAATGAGGGTGAAATCTATGGGTAGTGTCTTATCTACAAACTCATCTACCTTCCCAAAATTTTTCCCGGAACTTAATCCGTTAAAAATCCTCTGAAGAAAAGTAGCGGGGGAGGATGGGGTAGAATTTTCGGAGCCCACAAACTCCTAATATAATACAAAAGTTTAAACCCTAAACCATCAATATCCTTAGCCTTCTCTCCCATCTATTTAATTTCATGAATGCATAGAATATTTATCTTCCTATGAATCATAATATCAATTAATTATATTAATTTGCATGTAAGAGAACTAACATTCCACGATCTTAACCTAATTTTAGTTTCATGAACTAACTTCTTTGCACATATCCATCCATGATATGGGAACCTTTGCCTATTTAACACTGCATCCGGGTGCCGATGCAGCGGCCCTTGCACACTTCTCACTGTATTCAGGCCATACAACTCATAGCTTTCATGGAATGCCCGAGCATTAACACAATGTATTAAAGGATAAATGTCATAATTATTTGATATGTTTTACGCTGGTTGTTGACTATCTAACACAACTCTTCGCTTTTCTCATCCAGGACTTGGGACCTGGCAATGACAGTATTATTTCTTAGAATATGAATAAGATTTATTTTTTAGTTAATAATATATAATTTTTATAAATTTAATTTTTATTTATTTATTTATTTAATTATATAGTATAAAAATGAATTATTTATATTATTAATAATAATAAATGATTTAACATAAATGCCATATAGATTCAAATTTATAATATGAATTTGACATAAAATTTATAGTTGTAAATTATATCTAAACATATAATATAAATTAATATGTAAATTAAATTTATATTAAATATGAATCAAACTTAAAATTGAAGGTATTTAAATTTAAAATTATAAAAAAATATTATTGTAGAAATTATATTTATTTTATTTTTCAAACCATAAATTTTTATTATTGCATAATTATTACTTAATTACTATATAATTATCTATTATTTAAAAATATTACATAATTATTAGATCATCTGGTTTTTTAATAATTATTATATCATCTGGTTCAACTTTTGGATCTACCCCAGACAAACCATTTAACCTTGAATCTCCTTCTTCTGGTTCTATCTCCGATCCGATTTTTGAATCTTGATTATGATGTTTAGTAGAATATTATATATGTTTGGTCTCTATTAAATAAGAAAAATTATTTCCTCTAGCAGATTCCACGAGATACCAACTAAACTAACTGATAAAAATTTGTAACACTTGTACAGTTCTTAGATAATTGTCACCGAATAATTTTCGTTTAAGATTTTATCGCTAGTTCTGTCTTCAACCAATTTTGTTTAACGCCATTTCAGCATTCCCAGGCATTTTCCCATTGGGATTACTGGTAGAGTTGTCCTCTGTAAGGTTCGTTACAATTTTGAAGGGTACTGGCTAATCCTATTGTAACTTTAAGGTCATAGGTTTTACAATTGTTGAAGAAATCTCTTTTGAAATGTTCCGTAAACGAATTTGCACTAGAAATTGAAAATCATAGGTGAAAGTCATTGGAATCCCCTGAAATTACTGCAATAAAGTTCAAAAGTCCATTCACTGTTTCATAAGTGCTTCGAATTCCTTTTCCTACTTGGAATGTGTTATCTGTAATCATGATGGAATGGTGCTGCAGGCAAAGGCATTTTAGTTCTTGAGCAACCTACAATTTTTTTCTTACTCATCTTTGATATATTGTAGGACATAAAATTCCTATCCAGACTTTCAGTATTTGATTGTGGTGAAATTGTCTGAAACAGGTGGAGCTTGACATAGCTTTCTTTGCAAAACAACTCGGCGATATCCCAACCTCAGATAAATTCTTGACGGCTTCAAGAGCGCGGTTGTCTGCTATGTATTCCATCTTCTGGAATAAAGAGATGAACCAGTGGCTTGACTACTGGCTTAACACTAGCAACAGGGACTGCGAGGTGCTCTACTAAACTTCACTTTAAGATTTTTAAATTTTATTTGAATTTCAAATTTGATGGAGGTAACCGTCCTGTTAATTTTCAGTATATTCATCAATTTGAAGCTAGGAATCAAAATGACAAAATTTTTGCATCAAATTTCATACCATTGTGGACTTCGAGGCATAACTCAGGTTTGACATTCAGTCTGTTCTCTCTGCGCCAATTTGTTTGATGGAAATGTTTTTACTCATGGTTCTTTTTGAAGCCCTTTGAGATAATTTTGGCAGTTTTTTTATTTGTGCTGATCTATGCAATTTTTCTATAATGTTAGCTTCTTTGTCATTGCTTTGCTTTAGTTCATGGTGCAAGGTTAAATGATAGAGGTTTTTAAGATTATATTGGACTAGTTTTCAGCACAATGACATGTCTGATTGAGCGGGTTCTCAGGATTAGTTTTTTTTTTTTTTTTCGTGTTTTCTCGTCGTTTGGAAACACCTATGGACACATACACAACTAGCTTGGGAACAATTACAAGTTAGACCCATGGACTCTTTCGAAATTTTCACAAAATATACTATTTCCCTTGTACTTTGAGATATTCTCTTGGATTAAGATTCACAATATCACAAGATGATGGACTCATTATATCGAGGTTTAAAGCTGTTCTATTATGCATCTGAACTAGACTTGTTCAGTTAGTGAAAGCATCGCTAATTTTTTGACATTTGGGGCTGATTTTATAATTTTTTTAAACTAAAGAGAGACTTTTTCTATATTTTTGCTATATTTTAAAAAAGTACTTTGTAGACCTGCAAAGCTAAATATCGACGATCAGATTTATTCTATGTTATAGAGGTTTATTAGTTACCTTCTTGCATTGATATTAAGATAACTTTTTGGGCTGGATAACTGATTAGTTGCACATTATTCATTTTTATGCTTTTGATTATTAGAAATAAAAAATTCTTGGCAATTCTCGAGAAAGTTTAATTCTGAGCTCCTATTCAATCACAATAATAACCATTCAAAACTATTTGTTTGCTATGATTGCCTTTTGGAAATTGGCATAAACTATAAAATTTTCCATCTGTAAAGATTTGTTCTTGAAGCAAGAAAAATTATCTCAGGTTCTGTTGAAGATGGCACTATGGTGGAAAGAGTTCTTCAAAGCTTTCAAAAATCGGGTCTGCTCTATCCTGCTGGAATTGCAGCAGCGTTATCAAAAAGTGGGCAACAGTGGTAAGTTATTGGAATCTGGGTCCTTGAATCCCTCCCTACAACAAGAGGCTCTTCATCTAATTAAAACCATTGATGTTTCATTCGGCAGGGATTTTCCAATGGGTTGGGCTCCTTTGCAACATATGATCATTGAAGGATTTTCCAAGTCTGGTTCGAAAGCTGCTTGGACATTGGCAGAGGACATTGCCATAAGGTGGTTAAGAACGAATTATGCTGCTTATAACACCAGTGGTAAAATGTATGAGAAATATGATGTCGAAGGCTGTGGAAAGATTGGAACTGAAGGCGTATACAAACCAAAGGTAATAAAGCTGCTAGTCAATGTATTCAAAATAAAATACTGATACATACTGTCATGATCCAAGTAGCAATATTTCTGTTGTCTTACTGTAATTTTAACCTCTGTCGCTAAACAATGGTCTTTTTGATTTCCATCGCCCACCTACTACGATCCTTCCAACTTACGTCACCCGCCAATTACAGTTCTTCCGACCTCCGTCGACCACCGACTATGGCCCTTCCGACCAAACAAATACATCAATAGTGATTCTTCCTATTTCCACTATGTAATACACTCTATATGCCATGACCTTCCTTCCAATGAAGGGCCTCATTTGTAATCTACTGCAAATACTAGTCAATTCATTCAAATTGGGCTAGATCCCGTGGTTTTTCCTCTTTTTAGGATTTTCCACATAAAAATCTTGGTGTCTCCTATGAATACTTCACCCTCCCTTTTTATCTGATTGCATGTTGGATCTTCGTACAAAGCCAAGACATTAAACTTTATACTTCTCACGAATACTCCATGACGCAACACTTCAAATCATTTTTCCATGCAACTCCAAAGCATATTTCAACGTTGTAGTTTTTGTCGGATTTATATTGTTGCATTCATGGTGCAGACTGGCTTTGGTTGGTCTAATGGTGTCGTGCTCTCACTTTTAGAAGAATTTGGCTGGCCCAGTGACAGGGAAATAGCATGCCAATAGTGAAATCATGATTGCAGAGCTGTATTAAACTTCCAGAGGTTGGTGAATGCTGCATTAAACCTATTTGAATATCTCATTTTTCAAAATCAATGGTTTTTTCCCTTTTATTTGAAGTAATAATTTGCACTGGGATGGGGATGCCCTCTTCCTCTGAAACATTGAACATGTGTAAGAGAGATCAAGATTAGCAATAAGAATACTGGATATAAGGAAGTTTATCTCTATGTTTCTTATATCTGTGTATATTGTTAGGGGCTCAAGCTTGAATACCCAGGAACTTCCCTAATGTAAACTCTATTTTATATTTAAAATAAGTCATTTAGCAATTTCGTTTATTGCATTAGGGTAAGTGCTATTTCGTTGTTTAGAGTTCTAAAAAATGGGGGCACTTCCTGGGAAAATTATTAGGTCCGGACACCGGACGTAGAGATACGTTCGGTGTCCATCGAAATATTGACATGTGTAATGTACACGTGTCTGTAGAATTTTAAGTCAAGTGCGTCAAAAGCGCAGGTAAAACGTAGGTAAATTACAGTTGAAGCACATATAGAGTGCAGGTAAAGCGCAGTCTTCGTGGCAAATTTTAATTGGATATCCGGACCTATTTTTAGGTCTGGTGTCCGGACCTAATAATTTCCCCACTTGCTGATATTGATTTGCATTATTTACTTCTTAAAGCTATTGGGTTTCTAGTAGTCTATTAGTGAGGGAAACTTCTAATCTACACTACGACCTGGACGCTAAGTATCTGGAGTCTCTATCTAGTTGTTATTTATGTAATTTCAATGCAATATTTAGCATTTCATGTTCTCAGTTTACTTATTTGCAATTTCTGTGAACATAAATGCACATACTAAGAGTGTAAATTCTCTACAGTTAACCTAACAATTATAGATTGTAGTAGAAGAATCCATTCAAAACCAAAGGTTTTAAAAAGTTAAAATAAATTGAGGCTTCGTTTGGGATTAAATCTACTGATGGTGCTTCAAGCATAGATGATTCACATTACACCCTTTTCTTCTTATTTATCGAAGATTTTCAAATATTTGGTTGAAAGTAAAGTGGGTGCAAAGAATTTTAAATGCATGATTTTTGAAAATATTGGTGTTTGGTTAGATGAAAAATAAATTTAAAGTAAATTAAATTAAAATAAATGTAGTGTTAATCATTTCGTTCATTTTTGAGATAAATTAAACTCGTCCAATTTTGAGCGAGAACCATTTATACCGCAAGCAAGCTTGCTTGACCGCTGCCACTACTAATCATCGACCGCCGCCACCTGCCTATAGCCACCACCATCGCCATAGCCAACCATCGTTGGCTACCATTACGATCCACCAGCCACTACCGCCGCCACCTACTGGCCACCACCTGCTGTCGGTTGTCACCCCCATCTGCTAGTCATCACCACCCTCCGTCAGCCACCACTGTCACCCTGCTACCCATTGCCGGTCTTCGCCACCCGCCGCTGACCACCACTGTCAGCCACCACCGTCGGTCACCACCGGCCAGTACTACCGACCACCATTATTATCATCACCATATTTGGACTTCACATTATATTCATTTTACGTAAAACAAAAAAAATCATCTACATTTACTTTACACTCATCCAAACAACTATAAAATATTCTTTTTACACTTCATTTCTTACATTGTTTTCCTTTTTTAACCAACCAAACAACCTCTTACAACTAAACATAAATGCTTTTTACTTGTTCAATGAACTGATCCTAAGCATCAAGATTATTGAAAGCTTTGTTTGGTAATATTTTTCATCTATTTAGGGTTTTCAAATTTCATCATATTGTAATTTTGTTTTGTGAGATTAACATGTGAGGAAAAGCATATATGCCAAGAAAAATATAACCACAAATACTTCTTGGAAAGAAAAATAGTAATGATGCTGACCTATGTGCAAAATATTCTTCCAACGAGAAATAGAATGCAATCACAAGTGGTTGAGTATAGTTTGATTTTAATTCATGCAAAAAATGGCAATTTGATGAATCACAAGGAGTCCTTTTCTTTAAATTTCTATCATAGGTGGTTGAGTTTAACATCATACATCTCAAATAGCATAGTTCATTCATGTAAATAATCTTGTTCATTGCACTAATAGAAGCGATTTTATCTTCCTTTGACTAAGAGCAATAAGAAAGATTTAAAACCCCTTTAAAGAGCATGTTGAATTTTCTTTTATATTTTCACATATATTTTCTTCCTCATGAAAATATATATCATTAAAGAATCACTTTAATCATGTGATCATAACATCATTTAAATATTTATAAGTGTTGAAGTTTGACTAAGGCTTTGTTTGGGACGGCTTTCTTTCTGCTTCTTAAAGCTACTTTTTAGTTCAAAATTTTTAATTTGTGTACTAGAAAGCTGCGTTAAGAAGCAGAAAGAAAACCGTCACAAACGAAGCCTAAATTTCTTTGTCTAATTTATGTTTCATTTGAGTAAGCTTTTTTACTGCTTTTTAAAATAGCTTTTTTATAGAACTTTTTTTAACTAGAAATTTTGTACAAATAAACTTTTTTAAAAAGTAGTAAGAAAATTGTTCCAAATGATATCTTAACTATAATTGTTTTTTCTATATTAAAAAATCTTACAGCAAATTACTGAAGAAATCAATAATTATTATAAGACAAAATATGAGGAGTTATGTATGTATTATTCTAAATTATGAGTGGGATACATATCGACGTATATATTTCTTATGTATTTATAGATTTGATATAAAAATTATATATTTATATATATAGCATCTCAATTATAGACTAATATATATATATATATATATATATAAACTAATAAGTGAAAATTAAAGGAAATGATTTTAGTCTACAAGTCAGGATGCACGTGCTTTGACTGAAAGGAACAAAATAATTAAAGAATGTAAGATATTTTAATTTTGGGATGTTCAACCTATCTAATTTGAGTTGGAAGACTGACACATATATTCATGCGTATGATATGTGATCGGAGTTTGAACATTGAAGACTGACATATTCATGCACGTAATTCATATATGGCACTCAACGCTTAAAAAAATTGGAAAAAAATGATTAAAATATTCTTAACCAATTTAGATGGAAAAACTTTTATTCAATAGATTTTATGCTAAGATAAATGTTAAATATAATTTTATTAATTAATCATATGTATATGTCATTCATATCAAAACAAATTTAATCTATATAAATTTCCTCTTAATTAGAACTTTAATTTGGTTATCTTGAACCAAATATGGATTGAGACTTCGTTTGAGACAATTTTTTGCTACTATTATATAATTGTTTTTAATAAATTTTATTCTAAAGGTTGTTTAAAAGTAGATAGAAAAATGCCCCAAAACAATATGAAAGATTGGCCCGCCGCCTCCGCGGGTTCAGCCCACAAATAGAATGCTGCCGCATGTCCTCTGCTATCGTCGGTGCCGCCGTTTGTTTTATTTAATTAGATCAATTTATTTTAAATGTATTTAAATGCAAGATATATATATATATATATATATATATAATATATATATTATATATATATATATATATATATATATAATTTTATATATATATATATATATATATATATATTTATACTATATATATATATAATATATATATATATTTAAATTTTTTAGAATGTTTAACTCTTTATTTTAAAATTAAGATTGAATTTAAAATATCATAGTATGTTATAAATTATCTTAAATATTAAATATTTAATACTTTTAATTGCTATCAAAATAAAAATAAATAAAAATTTTCAAATTTTAATTAATATATCCCCAAAATACTTTCTGATTTTCATTAAATATTTTTGAAACTTATATTTATCTAAATTTAAAACTATATTTAAAATTAATTATAATAATAATGTAAAATTTATATTAATTGTTAAAATGTTCAAGAAATTGTTAAAATTTCAAATTTAATGAAATAAATATTGATATAATATTAAAATCATCAAAATTTAAAATACTTTTATTTAAAATTAAAATTATTTTTTAAATTTAAATATATTATAAATAATTACTAAATATTAAAATATTTGATCAATTTTTAATTAAACATAAAATCAAATATTAATTATTCAAAATTTTATAAAATTAACTTTAAATAATTTCACAATTTTCAAAAAATTATTTAATATCGTACTAAAATTATTTTGAAGTTAATTTAAATATTCATTAACTCTAAATATTATTGATTACAAATTTCAAATGTTTTTAATAAAACTTAAATTAAATCAAAACTTTTATCAATTAATATTTCATTTTCAAAAGCTCAAAATACTTTGATTAAAATAGAATTTTTTTTTAAATATTACATATTTTAAATAATTTTAAATATTTAAAATTTATTATATTTAATTAAAATAAATTCAATATAATTTTGAAAATCGTAAGAAAATTCTATAAATTATTTTAAATTTTAGAAACATTAAGAAAGTTTAATTTAATTTAATTTATAAATTATTTGAACATTTAATTATTTTTTAAATGCTTTAAAATACATTAATTACATAAGACTTCAAAATTTGAAAAGAAATTCAAATTAAATCAGAAAAATTAATATAGTACATTAAAATTTTCAAAATTTTAAATAATTATTAAAAAATTAATTTAAAAAAAAAATGTTAATATATTTTAAATAATTTTAATTATTTAACTATTTAATATTTCTTTAATATTTAATTAAATATTTTTAAAATTAAGTTTTATTTTAAAATTTCTTAACAATCAGATAATTTTTGTTAATAGATATTTAATTGAAATTAAAATTAATTTAAGATTTTTCTATATTTTAAATAATGTTTTTTTATTTTAAATATTTAATTTTTAGTTAATTATTGACTCAAATAATTTTGAAAAAATATCACAAATTTTTATTTTGAAATACTTTCATATTATTAAGGTATTTTCAAAAATTATTTTAAAATTATTTTAAAACTTTCTTTGTTTTTGTAAAGTTTAAATTAAAATTGATCTATTTTTTTATATAAAATTTAAAATTTGAAATTATATATATTAAATTTTGAGAGCTTCGAGTGATCTTGAAATTTGAAACATAAGTTAAGCATAGTTGAATATATTTGATGGGGAAGAATTAGTGAATAATTACTTTCTAATTATTCACTAATCATGTTCTCATTTATGTTTACTATCTCTAAATATGCATGTTTAGGATGTATTTGCATCTAATTTTAGGGCTCTCCTAAATATAGGAGTTGATTGTGATTTTGAATGCATCTATGTATTTGTCCAAGGGTTAGCAAGATATTGATTTCAATTGTACACAACTTAGAGAGAC